AATAAAATGATGCTTTACAGTTAAGTGCTGTAGCACTGGTACTGTTGGTTTGAACTGCACCACAAAGCTGCAATTACAGCAGTCTGTCCACAGCAGGCATCTTCATTCTGTGGCCATCTTAAAATGCATTTAGCAAAATCCGGGACTGGACATGTGCCTTGCAGGGAAGGAAAGGTACAGGCTGAATCGGTACAGTAACCTGAAATTTACAGATCTGTTTGTTGCATGGTGACGGCTTAAAAGAAGTACACAAAGTGCTCCCCTTCTCGGGAACAGTCTGGACAGGAAGTCTCTCATCTATGCAAAGACGGGCATTCCTTCATTGCGGTCTTGGACATTCTGAATGTTTTAACAGACTGTGTGCTTTTGGAGTTCTCATGAGCATTTATTGCTGTGATTGTTGGGTTTTTTTTTTGTATCGACAGGTACAATAAGAGGTGATGCAAGGAATGATATTACTTCTGAAGGTGTCAAGATGCAGAGCTTCTGAAAAGTTATTCATTTTGTGTCGATAGATACTTTATTAATCCCATGAGGGAAATTGCATTACAACAGCAGCCTGGCACAGTCACTACAGCACAGTGTAATGAAATGATACAATAAAGTAAGTACAGTCAGTGAGAACTGCAGTAAGAAAGTGGTTGAGGTGGTGGGATTATTCACACTAGACAGATTTATTAAGTATGATATACCATCAGAAATGTTTCTAATGGTACATTTAATGGGATAATGGTCCTGTTTGCTCTGTATCTTTCCAAGCAAGGTCATGTCGGTTTGCCAGAGTGATTCTGTCGGATTTGGGAAAAAGTGCCCGCAAGGAGGAAATGAAATGGCCAAGCTCCTTCTCCTACAGAACCTTAACAGGGCCCTCAGTGGTACTTTTTCCTAAGCGGTATATTAAGAATAACCAGACGAAAGTTTCCGTGTTTACTTGCTTTGTCTCAAAGTTGACATGCTCTGGAAAGCCCTTTGAAATGGCTCATTGTGTGTACAGCCTGGGCTTCCATTGTCCATTGTTCCCTGGTTGAACTGGAGTAAGTGCTGCAGCTTTCGGTTTCCCCTTATTCCCAAAGCCTGGACAGCCAGCATAGTCGCTGAGCTGGAACAGGCCAAGTCCAGCATCTCGGTTAACAACTTATTAAAGCACAGTGGAACGACTTAGGTTATTGTAAATCATGTGAGCTAAGGAATTTAAATAGGATGCACAACCCGACATAAATTAGTGATGCATTGCTTTCAGTCTTCCTATCCTCCTCAGTATTATGACTACAAATGCAGTTTATTTATCATAGCATTTTTATTGTTTGGGGCATCACATTGTGCATGAACATAATTTTGAAACAACCTTCTTTAGCTGGAATTCGAGCACTAAAAAGTGTTTGTCTGATGGATGCCAGGTTCTCATATAGTGAATGTGGGCAATTTTTATCTGTGGAAAAAATCACTATTGGAATGTTGCTGTGACTTGGTTCTTGAATAAACATTTTTTGGGTCATCTAGGATTTCAATATCAGTAATTTGCCTTGACAATACTGTATGACAAAAATGTTTCTTGACTCTTTTTAGTGCGTGTGTTTTAGGCATACAGCAATGTGTTTTCTGTTTTTTGCTTTGGCAAATCTTTTCAGACTTTGTTTCAGATTGTTTTGAAATTGCTGTTGTTCAAAAGGGTACAGTGTAGAAAATGTAATATTGCAGAGGATTCTGAACTCTGCTGGTTTAAAGTATCTCTCTTTTACCCAGGGATCTCATCACATTTCTATTCAGTTTTGCAGTGTCTAGTAAATCAGAAAGCACTTTATAAGCTCATGTTCAGTGTATTCAATGGTTGTTTTCCATATGTCAGGTGTAATGCATATCGCTCAGAATGAATTAAGTCAAGATTTTTTAAGAGATGTCTTTTTTTAATAAAAACCAGTAAATGCAAAATGGGGAAAAATCAGAATTTTTTAGCAAACAGGTGTTGGGAACAAGCTCGTCATAGTGAAGCTTATTCTTGCAGAGAGTGAAAAGGACTGACTTCATACTGGAAACATTCAGTCTGAGAGGAGGCTTTTTGTCCCACCATAGATGCCTGGGTGCCTATAGGCACTGGGACTCGATGACTAGAGATGTGTATCTTGCATCTTCAGCAATGCACCCTTGTCGTTTTTGAACCCATTGATGCTGTAACTCTTATTTTCAGTCTACTGCTAGCTTTGTTCCAGTTATACAAGGGTTGTTTCCAGTGAAATAAACAACAACTGGTGGGGAAATCCAAAATGTGGAAAGCTGCCAAACCAAGTGAAAAAAGGTATTTTCCATAGCAGAGCCGCACAGTGCCTCACTGGCCCAGAGCTTATCCTGGGTCTGATAGTGTTAAGCAGATGGAGAGCATGAGACTCCAACCCCCTCATTTATAGAGTTGGATAGAATGGAGCAGATGGGGTGAAGTACTTTAGTGGGGTTCAACAGCAGTATCTGCAGCAGGGATGTGAGCCCACAACCCATCAGATATAAGTCCAGAGGCTTACAGATTTAGCTGTGATGTCCCCACAATCCCTAGTGATGAGATGATTTCTGTGCCTTTACCAATAAGACTCTACTTTTAGGCAGGTGACGATGGCACAGCTCTGCCCTGGGGCACAGAAGGGACATTGTAATCTAAAGTAGATGGAGTGATGACTTTGGGCAGTGTAGGCTTGCAGCTGTGCTGTATCTGCCACCCAGCACACAGTCACCTCCTTTAACAGCATCTCACAGGCCTCACAAACAGTCTGGTTTTGTCCTGAACAAACTGATTTTGCTGGTGCTGATGTCAGGAGCTAGGCCCTCTAGGAAATATCTTAACTAAGTTATTTTAGCCAAAAAATGCAATTCCTGGTTTGCTACAGATCTCAATGACAGTGTTGTTCATTCTAGTTTATAGCTCAATAGGTATAGCCTGTAAACCTTTTTGAGCTAGTGACAGGAGTCCTAATTACACACAAGACAGAACAACTGTCATGCAATTCATCTCATGTTCTGATCTGCAGCTGAGAATAAACTGCATTGCTTTGCTCTCCATTCTTTCCACAAGTTATCTTATGTTAAAGACTATGAATTGAAACTCTCCATAATGAGCATTTTCGTATGTATGAAAAGGCTTTATATGGAGTTGAGTAGTAATGGTAATAACATAACGTTAATTGTGTGTCTCTTGTGGAAGTTCTCCGCTGTACATGTGGATTATTTTTTTAAAATCTGGTTTAAAAGGACTTAAGGAGAATGACTCCCTTTTTGAAGTGTTTTCAAACTGCAAGCATGCTGTAGTGCATTGCCACATAGCCGTGTCAAGCCCAAACCATGCACCAGTACATTTTAAATACTCATGTGGTAAAACGCTGATTTTCTGTGATAACTGCTCTGTGACTGATGTTCAGACGGCGCTCCATGTCTATCCACACGTGTGTGCTCAGTCCACAAGCTTATCCACTGTGTTCCTATCCGCATGCGTGTCATTAGCTATGCCTCACAAACGACCCGTCTGCGTTATGCCGGGACTGCAGGTCCTTTCTCTAAACTCCAGCGGCTTTTCCAAATAATGAGCGATGAACAAGAGTTATTCAGACTTCTTGGCCAAGCTGTCAGAACTGGCTTTTCTGCACAATTAACGATCGCATTGAAAGTATAAGCTTCATTACCAGTCCAGCATGCTTCTTTTCTTAATGGTTCTTGACTGGAGCATGGTTTGTTTATAGTATGGCGGAGCAGGCTTATTGGAAGGGAGGAAATGTCAAAAAGACCCTCTAAAGAACACTGTGTTCTCTCGATTTTTCTTCTTTTTTGGTGCTGGTATTCTTCTATGTCGAAATTGAAATTTTCTTTGAGCAAACCAGAGATTGCAGAACAGCAAAACCTTTAAACTGCTTTGCAAAGATAGTCTGTGTTATTAGAATAATAAACTTTATTTTATATAGCGCCTTTTAAGGTGGCTTCTCAAAGCGTTTACAGAATGACAAAGAACACACAAGATACACCTACAATACACAGAGGAGACTGTGGATGGTGGTATTAAGTATAGTAGGAGCAGAGGGGTAAAGAATGGAACCAGTTAAGTAAAGGCTCTTCTAAAGAAGAAGGTTTTGAATCTGGATTTAAAGGAGTTTAGAGAAGGTGACTCTCTGATATCCTTGGGAAGAGAGTTCCAGAGCTTGGGGACATAACAGGAGAAGGCCCTGTCACCCATAGAATGTAGACAGACTTTTACAGACCAGGTAGGCTGAATGGTCTCCTCATTTGGACATGCTCTTATTGTTTGGCTGCTGGACAACAAAACTTTAGCGCCTCAGTTTCCTTTTGTTCAAATTCAAGTCTGCCTGTCTCAATTACACTTCACGATGCCAGCTTTGCTGAATGCACCTAACAATGCAGACCAGGGCAGAAGTTGTCTCAGTGTTGGTTCTCATGCAGATTATGTCATGGCGATACTGGAGTCTAGGGCAGGGGTGTGGCTGAACGCTTCATGCATTGCAGATTGCATTCTGGGGCACCTTTCCATATTGCCCAGGGGGTTGATGGTGAAATATTTGGCACCCCGTCTGTGACGAGAAGTGCTGTACCCCAGTTTACATTGGGGGGTGTGTTCTTGAAAAGCGTCCCGTATAGTGAATCAGCAGATAAAGAATTGATTTTCCCTGTAAGGTTGTATGAAAGAGGAAGGCTGTGTTCAGAAATTGTCCACATACTAGCATAAGAAGAATGTTGTTTGAAAAATTAATTTCTGTTAAAGTACACAATGTGAACGTTTGTTGCACCATGCAGAATATTTAACTATTATTGGAATTGCATTATAACAGTTTACACTTCTGTTTATTCACTGTATATTGCATGTTTATTAATAATCATGATAATATACATACTGTTCGGATGTGAAAGAAGTGACATTTTATGTTCCCAGTCTCTCCTCTGTTAGGACTATGTGAACTCTAAATGAAGATCAGCTTTTCAGCATTTCTTCTCCTTGTGTTTGTCTTGAGCAGGTCAGAACCCCTCTCCCCTGGACAGACAAATGGGCTCACCTCTCCAGAACACCTAGCCGTCCGATTCCAGGTCTGTACCTCTTCTGTTAAACCAGAACTTTTCAGTGGAACAGAAGGCCTGTTTTTGCAAAGCATCTGCAGCCGTTTTCTCAAGATATGGATGTGAAACAAAATTATAATTTGCCTCGTATTTTTATTTGGTGAGATTTGTTAGGATTTATTCATTTGCCTTTATCTATGGCAATTTGCAGGGGTACCACATATAAAAAATGGAGTACAATCTGTATGTGCGAAAAGATGTTGGTGTTTGTAAGATAAATGTATGAAGTCGCATAGTTGATATAATTTATAAGATTAGGAAATGGATTATAAATTCTTTATCGATTTTAGTTGGTCCTTTTATGGTCTCAAATCTTTTTTCCCCGTCTTATAGGAGACGTTGTTTCTCTCTTTGTCCCTGTTCTCCGAGATAAAAAAAATGATTCTGTTGTGATCCCTTCCACGTGGCATTTATTAAAAAGTGTGTTCCTTTAGTTCCGGAATATACAAGTTGTTCCATCCATCTTCTGAAGTACACAAGGTATTCTGCAATGTACTGCTCTACATACTGTACCTCTTGCAACTAGGAGGATGTAATGCTGCACAATGTGTAAAAAACATGTACTGAGCCAGGAGTGCAGTTAATATGCCTCCTGTAAGGAGTTGTGAACTTTGCAGATTTGGAACAGTTCCATGTAGGAAAAACATTTGGGTGGTGATACTCAGGTGTCTAGCCTGTGGGAGCAGACCTCACTGCACAGCTGACCGGTTGGCATCCTTTACTGCGCATGTGTTTGGCAAGACTGGACAAGCAGCCTTCTTATCAGAACAGTGTGGCTCAGAGCCGTCTAACTCTGGATTACTTGTAATTACTCGGCTACTGGGGTCAACCTGAAAACGCTGCCCGAAGATCTGGAAGTTCCTAGGGTTAAGCTGAACAAAGAAAAATACATTGAAGTGTTTTTCTTTTTCCTTACAGTAATGCAGAGCTACTTTGGTCTGACGTGGTGAATATTGGAATCCTACACTGCTGTGAATCAGTCACGTTTCACTGACTATTCATCCCAAATGACGTAGTACAATATTAGATGTCATGTTAAACAGTATTCTGTTGGATCAAAGGCAAGAGACAGTAAGGGAAAAATCATTACTACTGAATGTTGTTTAGTCTTTGTTTCTAAGAGCATGGGCTAGAATAAAAAGCAGTGGGACATTTTATTGAACAAAAGTGACCCAACCACTTCTGTGACACACCAATTTCTTTGTGATGATGCATACATCTTTCAGCAAGCCACAGTAGAGGCTTATGGTCATCTTTATTCCATGCTTCAGAATAAAGATCCCAAAAGAGTTTCAAGTGGCTCAAAGCAGTAAAGGCATTTGCTCAGAGTGCATGTTGAGCTCTGTGGGTAAGACATTGCTGGTGTGAGCCTGGGTTGTTACTTGCAAGCTGTGACCACTATTGCCTATGTGGCAGCACGCAGTTGGCAGACCAAAACTAGGATAGGACTGGACGTAGGCAAGATTTCTCTCTCCCTTCCAGCAAGCTGTGACCACCTGGGCACCTGCGGACCTGTGGTGGCATCGATCGGAGAAGCACTAGCACTCCTCTGTTAGAAGTTCAATCCCCTGCCCCACACTTGGGATCTTGGAGCATGTGACATGGCTCCACAGATGGGCATGTTGGAGGAGTTCACGTTGCTCATTCTCTTCTGGGTGGATACCAGGAGTCATTGCTGGAAAAGAGTCTTCACCACAACAATTTGGAACCACCATTTGGTTTAAATATGAAGGAAATAATACAGGATTCCACAGATAAAACAAAATACCATATGCAGACTGTTTTCTTCACTCTTCAGAATGCTTCCCCACTGTTTCCAATGCTTAAATCTTTGTTCTGACCACCACTCGGGTTTTTCATTTTATTTCTCAAATGATGACTTGTCCACAATGACTAATCTATGAAATCCTTCTGCGTGCAGTTCCCTTTGGATTTTGGTGGTGCCAGGTTTAAAATCTGGTATACTGGCTGACTTCCTGAGGAATTCTTTCTGCTAGTCATGGGGGTTGTTTTTCACACCATGCAGTGCTTTCCTGGCCCTGTCTGTTTGTGGTTTTGGGCTGCAGTCCTGTTGTGAACACTGACACAAACTCTGAGATTTGGGACTCTCATTAAGGTTAATCTTAATCTACCCAAGAAATTACAAATATTGCCCCATAATGAAAGCCTCTATTTTAATTTGTCAGGGTCATGTCACCTCTTTACAGTCTGATATTTTTGCTTTACTATGTCTGTGCCTAATGCATGGGACTTCCTAAAACTATATTAATGTAACAAAAATATGTCCATATTCTGTACAAAATATAACGAAACTGAAGTGAGATCTTCTTGAGCAAACACGTTTTAACGTTAAATTGGAGAAAAAAGAGGAAACATTATTTTTAGAACCAAAAGGCCTCCGTCAGGCAACAGCTGCTTCCTTTTTTGTAGAAACATCCTGTTCCTACTGCTGCATTTGTGCAATTGGACAGATGCCTCTTCGAGCAGTGACCGGCAAAATCCCATAAGTCCAGGATTTTGATTCCTGTCCTCTTCATGATGGACGTTTATGGTCAAAATGGTTTCTTTGAGCTCTCCAAAGATTATAGCATACTTCAAAATTATGGAAAACATCTGTTTCCTTAAAAATTATAGAACTTGGTAAAAGCATTTTGGGTATAGAATGCAATGTATTTGGACAAGAGATGCTAAAATGTGTCGTGTTTTGTGGTACAGCTATGACTGTAGCTGAAGCTCTGTGATGTTCAACAGTTTAATTAAAAGCAGTATAGATGGGGAAAACGGAGTCTGTTGGACATTTTTAACTGGTTTAATATACTTTAAACTTGATAGGCCATTCAGCAATGTTTCAAGTGGAGGAAAAAAGGTGAGGCTTGCGGTAATGATGTAGTTTCATTTAAAGTAAGCAGTCTTTTTTTTTCGCAAATCTTTAAGAACCAATTGGTTAACTGACAATCTGTGCCCCTTAACTACAGAGGGGTATCTTCCTTTAAGAAGCGAATAGTTTTACAGAGCTCTTAATTCTTTCCTTGTTTAGGAGGCCCTGCAGCCAAGCCGAGATGAAAACTACAACGATTATTCGTTCTCTGGCCCACCATCCCTGTCACCAACTCCTTACTCCGCAGAGAGGAAGAGAGATGCACACACAACCTTCAGCACCAAGAGGTACCAGACTTCATAAAAGTTGCTATATTATATCAGATCATCACACCGCCACCATCTCCACCTCCCAGTTCATGGTGTTTAGACTTGGTAATTTTTTTCATTCATTTCCGCCACCTTATAGTATCCAGTTATTTTTCCAATTCACCGCTGCTTGACACCAGCCAGAGAAAATCACACAAGATTACTAGCTTCCTCCGAATTAGGTGGTATACAAAACAAGAAGGAGCCATTAAGCCTGTGCCAAGCCAAGATCGATCAAATAATACAGCTCCTGTGCCCCAGTGTGGTCTGACATGGACTACAGTAAAAAGGCAAGCACCTGCCTAGTGACAAAAGCTACTGCACCAGAGTAATTAGAAGATTCTGATCGGTCATGGTTAAAAGGCAGGAACTGTTTTCCACTGTTTTTTACAGTGAAGTACTCGCGTAATACGTGTTGAGACAATGCTGAAGGACCTACCGGGGTTATTGGGAAGAAGCTGCAATAGTAGGCCAACGTATTTGATAACTAACATAAGATAATGACATAAGCCCGCATACCTGGATCTTGCAAGGGTAATTGTAATTTTTAATCTGCTTTAGGAGGATGCACAAGAGTCCCTTTGTCTCGCAGCCTCTCAAGATTACAGGAGCTGTCGAATATAATGGCAGTTGCCAGTAAAATATCCCAAACGTTCAATCTCGTGCCTTGCAGTGTGGAATCGATGTTGCATGTTCTGAGGCAGCATTCCACTTTTTTTGTGATTGTGAGGTTGTACTTGGCACGTCATTCATTGCCTGTAACCAAAAATAAAATAACATATTTCAAGAGAGAGACACATTCCAGCCATCACTCCATTTGTTTGAAGGATTAATGTCTGAAAGCTGGAATCCTGGGAGAGGGGAACAACAGAATATCTTGGAATGCAGCAAAGGTCACGCCTGCGAATTTCTGCCTTGTGTTTTGTAAAAGGCAAGATGAATTCGAAGAACAGGAAAGTAGCATGCATGATAAGTCATTGTGGATAGTGAAGATCTTAATGATGGGCTCACATGATTGGGTAAAAGCCATTCTTCATGGATTCTGTGCATTTCTGAAATGTGTATTGAAAGGTATTCCTGACTTTTTTTCATTTCTCTGGGGGAAAAAATGCCTAGATGAAAATATTTAGGTTACTTACTCAAGAATGCACAGAACTATTTTTTTTAAACAGCCTTTTGTTTTTCTTGAACTTTTGCTTAAAAGTAATGGGAGAGAAAATTGGAGGCACTGTTTCCCATAATTTCATTTGAATTACTTGCCAGTGATGCATGACAGATTCATTTAATAGCTATTTTAACTTGTTGTTTCACCCAGTAATCGACAATGGTATTGTTTGCATTGTAGCTGTGCTTACATTATTATTATTAATGTATTGTCTATTGCACATGTACTGTAAATTTGGGCCACTTTGTCCCAAGAAAGCATGATTTTGAAAGTGTACTCAACTTCATCTGTGATAAGTACACACTACTGAAGCTTCCATGTGGCTTCACCATAATGATGCTTGCTCAAGTGCAGGCTGAAACCTGTGATCCAGGCTCGAACTTGCAACATCTAGAAGATGTCACCAGCTGATTATGACTGAAACTGGCCAAGTGGCCAATAGGCTGAGTGCCATCGATGATAGGGGCAGCGTGGGATTAGTTGACCACAGCCGTCTTGGCTTGTGACATCACGTTGACCCCAGCACCTTCCCAGAAATCCATGCTGTAGATGAAGAACACTCCTCAAATCTTCTCTGAACCTCTGGTACCGGGCCATATTGCCCGTGATGTCTGAAATGGGGTGTGGTTCAAAAAAAGAGAAGTGCACACATCAAACTTTAAATAAATATTTGATGGTCATGGTTCCCACATGTCTAGAAAAAGCTACCTGGCAGAACTGTGCCAGGAAAAGAGGAAAATACATGTCCTGGAAAAGGTGTGGAAAGCTATAGTAACATTTCTATTAATATACAGGTGTAGGTACAAACTTGGCTGGGGTGTACTCAGATACTGTAGCTGCTAAAATTACACTGACCCAGTAAATGTGTTGTATAGATGCCATGGTATTCTACTTAAGTAATGGCTCACATATAACTGAAATGGTTTTCTCCCCCTGTTTGTAGCTTCCAGACACACTCGTGGTCTCCAGTGGAAAAGGTTGCTAGTCCCAGGACCTCCTCAAGACCGGTCTCCCAGGTGAGTGGGATACAACAATTCCTTCGCAGTAATCACAGCTAGAGGATTGGAGGATTTCAGAAGAATAGGAATCCCCTGATTTGTTAAAATCCATTGAATTTCTTTGCTTAGCAAAGCACCTACCTCTAAATCTCTGATGGAAATAGGTGCTGAATTCACAAGTCTGCCTATGAATGTAGTTAGGAGGTTTTGAGCTGCAAAAAAGTGAAGCTTCATATTCACCTATATAAGTGGTCTTCGCAGTCCTGGAAAGTTTTAATCCAGTTATCCTTACAGGTGCTTACAGATCAGTAATAAACATGATCAACTAAGCAGGTAGCTTGTTCAGATTCATGAGTCCTGAAGGGTATTCAGATTTGTATTTCATATCTCTAAATAAAATTTTTACAAGGCTTTGGGAATAGATTTAGTGGTTTTCTCTAAAATTAAGGCTTTCTAGGACTTGGGTTGAAGACCCCTGATTAGTATATACTAATGTACGGCAAACATACAACAGTGGTCTCGTACATTTAATCAAGAGGTTTAAATAGGTATCAAGCAGTCTAAATGTGATACAAAATGCTGATCAAGGGTATTTGGAAATGTGCAAATTAGCTTGGTGATCTTTCCCTTTTCTTGTTAATTAAAATTATTTTTTTGAATGACTAAAGAGATCCTTAATCTACTCAGAAATAAGGATCCAAAAACTCCTGGCATTTTTAAGAAATCGCATGACTTGAGCTCAGGATTTTGGAGCTCAATGAACAATGCTGCTCAAATGCTAGAAAGTGAAGAACATTATGTACTGTATGTGTCCAATGAGTTATTGATGTAAAACATAGATCTTGTTTTCCCACTATGTATCAGTATAAAAAAAACTGTTCACATACTTCAGATACTTTAAATGGTCTCATGATTAGCAGTTTTTTTTTTCCTTTGAATGAGAAGTACCACATTTTCCAGTTGAGCAGAAAGATTAGAGCGATCCTGTGTTCAGCCCTTTTTCTGAGTGACTTTGATATAATGCTCATTTAGAACAGATGTGCGTTATCACTGTGCTGGGGTCGACCTGTCACTGTTTCTGTACAGAAGGATCGCGATAGCTGGGTTGATCAAGCTGGAACTCTACACTGCTAGTATTGTTCAGGATTAGTCAAAACAACCCTTTTCGAAATCAAAACAAACTGGCAGTCTTGAGAGAGTAATTGTACTGTAGATGTATTTCCTCAGTTAAAGATATGTATTGCCATTCCTTTCTACTGCTTTGTCTGAAGGTTTTACCACAGTGTACATCCTGTTTGAACCTCCATTGCTAATTTGAGTCGCCTACCAGAAGCAATGAACTATTGCATTAAATAACGTTCTACAGATATTCCTAAGAACAGACATGTTTTTAAGTTGGATAAATAATGCAGCCATTAAAGAAGAAAGTGACAACAAATTTAAGTAAAGCAAAGAGAACTAGGAAAGCAATATCTCTCCTTATTCAACTGATTTCTTGAAATAGGTAGCATACCATCTATACTAAGCAGAGCCAAGAAAAATTATATTAATAATTTCATATTAATCGTAGGAACTTAACATCGTAAAATCATATCTCCAAATACTGAAGTGTGGTCTGGGTTTCCTGCAGCATGTCTATCCTCAGTCGGAATGTCAGCCTAGCACATGAGCGTCGACATCAGGCCCTGTACTAAACACTACAGTGTTGGTGTCTCCTAGGCTTTGTGCTGTGCTTTGTGTTGCATACCTATTAACTCTTATGTCAAGCCTATACATTTTAATTATGTGGCTGATTCTATACTGTATTGCAACAGTAAATAGAAGTACAAGGGGTCATCGGAGTCTCCCTTACTTTTTTGTCTGCGAAGTACTTTGTGGTGCTCACTGTCTGGTTTTATTGTATTGCATGGAGGTCCTGATCATGAATGTTTCATCTGTCAAGCACTCCTGAGAGATTTTATAGATTTGCTTTATTTTGACCACATCCAGTGCTGTCTGGGACCTGGACTGCTGCTATCTGGACGTTTTGAGGAAAGCAGAGTCATGTCCATGTGTGTCATATTAGGATTTTTTGGAAATGTTCAGGAATGTCTGTATCTGTAGGGGGAAGGGTGGAGCAGAATGAGGAACCTCACATTCTGAGTTGGCATGATCAGTGGTTTTTGGGGCCCTATTTCAAAAGTCAGTTTCTTTATCATTTTTTTTCCTCCTGGCTTTTTCTCCCCGCTCAGATTGCAATTAATCCCTTTGTGTGTGCTACAAAGATAGAAAATCAGGGAGTGCTCTCAGCTGTTTCTGCCAAATTGACGCCTCTCCACTCCTCTTCCTGACAGAGTTTGATTTTCCCATATTAAACATTTCCAAACGAATACTTGGAATCTGCAGCTGCTGCTCAGCTAAACCTACTTTGCTCATGCTAAACAGGGAAAGGATGGAGAAAACTCAATGGCCTTTATATTCTGCTGCAGCCAAGCTGCCCGCTCTGTAGTACAGAATTTAGATGGGCATTTTGCTCATATTTACCCACAGTGGAAACTCGGCTACTGCCTGCTGAGGCCAGATTCGACGTTGCATGTCTATCATGATCATGAATGAGAAGGAAAGAGCTTAGGCAACAGCTGTGGACATGAGTGCCTTATTTGTTCTATCCACTTTTGCAAGCAAGGTGCAAGGCAGAGTCATTGCCTGAAGATATAATTGAGGTTGTATTTCCACTGAAGTGCCAGTACTGGAGTAACAAAATAGACCATCAAATAACAGCAGCTATAAACCTCAATTGACGGGACAACACTGAGACACTGAAGGCCAGCTGTGTCAGCTGAACCCCTTCAGCAACCGCTTGGCTGCTGAGCTTCAAGCGTAGAGCTGCACTGGCTGCAAAGGAACAAGTAGATTCATCTTGGGGTGAAAAGCAGAAATTGAGGTGTTGAGGCTGCTGAGCCTTCTCCAGTTGTGAGCTCGCTCTTAGGCGTTTCACCTCTGTGCTTTGGATACCTGAAGAAGGCTCAGCGGACTAAATGTTTTTTTCTTTCCACTTTTCGGAGTGGAATTCGCCTCTGTTTGCAAGGATAAAGGACCTTTACAGCTGGCTTTTTAGAACCCATTCCAATTCATGAAGCCCTGCCCCTTCACCATGGAGGGGCTGTAATGTTGTATCAGCTACTGTTCTCTTTAAAGCCACCTGAAAGTGTTTCCACATCACTGGCTGTGAGGCTCTAAAGAGCCGAGCCTCTGACTTCGTCTGTTTTTAGGATAATAGAGTGGGGTGGGGGAGGGCTGTGGAAGGGGTGTCGGGTGTCCTGAGAAATGGTGTGTTACAATAGGGGCTCTGATGGCAAAGTCTTGGGGGTGCTGGTGTTGTCTTTCGCCCCCATCACAAGGGCTGTCGCTGTGAAACTGGCTGAGGCTGGAGACTGTTTCTGGGAGGGGTGGGGGTGGGCACAAAGAGGGGAATCCAGCACCATTCCCAGGAAGATCCATGACTCTCCATCACAGCCTCCAGAATCTCTTTCCCTTCTCCTGATCACAGGACAGGGCTGCCCATTGTCCGGCCTGTCTTTCACGATTCTTTCGCCATGGGACGTCTCTGAAAGAGCAGAGCGCACGGATGCACAACCATACAAAAGACTCGCTGCTTTTTAGAAATGCAAAGATCTGATTTTTGTGTGGAGAAGGCTGTCCCAAGTCCATTTTAAATGCACTCTAAATATCATAAATATCTTCAGTGTCCAAAAGCGAGTTTGAAAAACAACACGATATAGTACAGCTTTTATTTAATTTTTTGGTTTAAATGAGAAATGTAATATTACACTTATAGTGCTTGAATGGAGTGTCCAGAAAAAGCACTTTACAGGTAGTGGGCACTCCCCATGTGGATGCTGCGACAGCAGCCGTAGTGCACCAGTACGCTCACCACACACCAGCTCTCAGTGGGGAGGAGAGCAGAGAGTAATGAAGCCAGTTAATAGATGGGGATTATTAGGAGGCCATGATTGGTAAAGACCAATGGGAAATTTGGCCAGGATGCCGGAGTAACATCTCTACTCCTTTCAAGAGGCACCCTGGGATTGTTAATGGCCACAGTGAGTCAGGACCTTAGTTTTGTCTCATCTGAAAGACAGCTCCTTTTTACAGTGTAGTGTCCCCGTCACTATATTGGGGCATTAGGACCCACACAGACAGCAGGGTGAGCACTTCCTACTGGCCCCACTAACACCTCTTCCTGCAGCAACCTTAGCTTTCCCAGGAGTCTCCCATCAGGTACTGACCAGGCTCACACCTGCTGAGTTTGTGGGTAGCAAGTTGTGAGCTGCAGGGTGATATGGTTGCTGGCGTTCCATTTGAAAATGTAGGATACCATTGGTCATAAAAGCTAATCTCCCAAGATTATAGCAACCTTCAGAGATCTGTGCTCCTCCTCAAATCATTACCAGTGACATGACTGGATACTCTTTGGAAAGATGAGAGGGTGGGGCTCTGCAGTTTATTTTTCTTTGCAAATCAGCTCTGAATAATGTAATTTCTGTGATTATTTTCTGAATTAGTCCAGGCTATCACACTTTGCCTGTCACTGCTCATTTGAATCACTTTTTGTTTCCCTAAGAAACCTTCTAGGTTCAGGGTTGCCAGTATGTAATGCAACTATTATAAACCGAATATTGAAGAAATGTTTTTGGGGGCTTTTTTGGAAAGGTTGTTTGGATACAAATTTAATAGGTCCCTGGTTGTTGTTTTGACATCTAGCCAAGCACAGACTATAAGAGGAACTACTGCAACACAGAGGAGGATCATGTCTGTTTAGGAAATTAAAGAGAGCTGTAGGAGGTATTAACACATATAGGCTTGTGTTTTTTTTTTTAAATGAGCATCAAAGCTTTTAGCTACCGGTAATCTAGCTTGTTAACACTTGTATTGAAACACACTAGCAATAATTCCTCTTTTTTTCATGTTTGTGGTCATTACTTCTCTCCGGCTCCATGGTTAAATTCTCCTTTAGACTTCCCCATCAGTTTTAAGAT